ACAAATCATCCTTTCAGCAGGCTGGTGCAGCTCAGCCATCTGGGATCTGGGAGCCTGCTGTGCAGGTGTGTGTGCAGCTTGGGAAGCCCTGCGGACACAGGGGAGAGCCCTGCACACACCTGCAGGGGCCCTGCATGGAAATGCTGGGGGAATGAGGCAGCATTTGTATTTCTGGACTTTCTGGTTCCCAGGGAAGGGAATTTGGAGGTTGCTGGGGCACAGTCTCAGGTTTCTTTGGCTGATCCAGGCTGCTGGGTGGTGACCTGACAGAACAGGCTACAAACAGGTGAGGGCAGTGGGTGCATCCTGCCAGAGGGAAGCACAGCACACCTGGGACAGCTGGTTCTCCAGAGAGGCAGAAGAATTACCTGTGCACCTACACAATGTTTTGTGAGCAGCAGCATGGTTCAGCAGCCCCAGGGGAGCCAGATCTCACACTGCACAGCAGAAGGAAAGAACTTTTCCTCTCTACAGCTTGATCCAACTGAACACAGACTTTTTTTAGGTACTGACCTGGGGAAGAAAAAAAAATCCAGTAAGACCAAAGGTTGCAATAACCAGACTCGTAGGTCATTAAAAAATGACCTACGAGGGTCATTTGACTGAAAATCTGAAAATCTGAACCTTACAGTAAATCACCTCCAAAAAGCTTTGATCCAACTGAACACAGACTTTTTTTAGGTACTGACCTGGGGAAGAAAAAAAAATCCAGTAAGACCAAGGTTGCAATAACCAGACTCGTAGGTCATTAAAAAAATTCTATCAAGAGTTTCTCCTTCAACCTTTTAACTTCTGACAATTTCAGTATGGGATTGCTTCTCTGCAGCTGGGTTAATAAGGATGTCCCCTAACACCCAAAGCCCATGCCAAGACAGATGACTGCCCTGAATTCTGCTCAGGCCTTCCAGCTCTCCAAAGGCTGAGAGCTGCAGGATGCAGCAGGGATGGCAGAGAGCAAGGAGGAGCAGAGAGCCCGGCTGCTGACCTCAAGGTGTGATTGTGTCACATCCTGCTGTGGGGAAAAAGACTTTGTGTTCTGCTGAAAATCTGAACCTTACAGTAAATGACCTCCCAAAAGTTTTTTTTTCTTTTTTTTTCTTTTTTAATTTTTTGGGTTTATTTTTTGTTGTTAATTAGATGTTACAGCAGCCCTTGACACATGACTAAGCCACAGGCTGTGGAACATGCCCTTCCTCAGGTGCCTGTGAAGATAAGTACCTGTTGCTTTCCAAATCTTACCAGCATTCTCAACATGAAAGGCTCAGATGGGTTTGGAGTCACAGCAGAACAAGGAGCTGCCCTGCAGAAGTGCTCTTTGCATTAAATAAACAAGCAAACCAGAATTGATGCTTTTCCAGTCTAAGTTGAGGCCTAGAAGGGGCTGGGTGGCAGCTTCACCCCTTGGCCCCAGCTCACACCCTCTGTCCTGTGAGCCACATGGGCATTTCCCACCAGGAGGGATCATCAGAGATTGTGCACAAGTGTTTTATTCCTAAAACTGACACGGCCCAGGATTAAAACAGTCCCACAGAAACAGCAGAACTCATAAAGCAGGGACAGCAATAGTCAGGAGGAATGACCAATCCCACCTGTAAGGTGTTTTAGTGCCCACCATGTACTGGCATTGCCCCCACAACGTGGGCAGTGCCAGCACAGCTCCCCTGCCAGCACCCTGATCCCTCAGTCAGCTCACACCAGTGCCAGGGCAGAAATGGCTCAGGCACTCTCTAAATCAGGGAATTCTCATCAATCTGTGCTCCTCTGTGGGAGAAAGACGCCAAGCTCACAGTGCTGCAGAACCCAGCCTCTCCTTCTGCAAGTTCTGTGCCACAGTAAGCACACACCCCAAACTCTGCCATTCATCCCAAAAGCAGGGAATTCCCACTCACTCCTCTGAGGGAAGGAGGTAGGAGAGTTGGAGTTTTGATAAATTAAAGATGCATTGTTGTACTAATTTCACTTTCCAAACCATAATGACCTGTGAAGTGTCACAGCAGGGAGTGGAGCATAGAGAGCTCCTCCACCAAATCCCTGAGCAGGGAGGAGAGCCGGCTGTGGGAATCCCAGCTGCTGTTTCCTTCCTTTGCCTCCTACACGATAAATGCATTTGCCACTTTAATATTCCTTTAGAGCAAGCCTCACTGCAGCTCATTTCCAATGCATAATGATGAGTGGATGTGTTTAAAATCTCTCCACCAGGTTGGAAGAGACCTCCAAGATCACTGAACCCCAGCCCATCCCCAGCACCTCAATAAACCCTGGCACCCAGTGCCAACCCAGGCTTTGTTAAACACCTCCAGGGATGGTGACTCCACCACCTCCCCGGGCAGAACATTCCAGAACTTTATCACCTTTCTGTAAAAAAAACTTTTTCCTGGTATCCAGCCTTGACACAGCTTGAGACTCTCCACCTCCTGTGAGCAGAAGCTGCTCTCCATAACCTGTCAGGGATGTAAAGGATTTCCTGGCAAACCACCACAACCATCTTTACTTTGTGTGCTGAGCCTACAAATCAGGATGCAGAGAGGGGAAAAGTGTGCTGGCACCACCTGCATGCTCAGGCTGCATTAAAAACTGACATAATTTGGCAGAGGTATTACAGATTCTCAATTATCTCCACCCCCTAGTTCTTTTTCCTTCTTCAGGCTGGGTAAAGCCAGCATGTGGATTCTGGCAGCACATCTGTCTGCAGCACACTGTGCAGGTGTTTCCAGCAGCAGAATGTGGCTGCAAGTTTGAGAGTTCTGAGCAAGGAACAAGGAGGGCAGAAGAGAAGCAGCAACGTGGTTCAGTGTCAGGCAGAGCAAGGAGAAAGGCAGGGAGGCACTGCTCAAACATTTCAGACACAGATGTGCTCCCCCCTGGTCCAGGAGACAGCCTGCTGTTTGTCCTTCTAAAGGTCACAAACTCCCCTTGAGGAGCACTGGAATCCTGAGACAAAATTCAATATTGCCAAAGGCAATTGGCTATTAACCATCAAATTATTTTTACTTTGCTCTTTATTACCCCCTTAGTCCACAAGCTTCTCCCCATTGCTTCAGTCTGCAGCCTCCACAATAGCTACGAAGAAAAACCAATTACAAATTTATCCCAAAAACACAACTGGAACCCAAGTGAGCTCTGCCAATGCTCAGCAGCAAAATGTAAAGGACAGCCTGGACTGGGAAGAGGCTGCTGACCTCCACATCATCACAGCTCATGAGAATGCAAGACAAAGTTAGGTCTAATTAACAGACATTAGAAAAAAGTTGTGGCCAGCTTCTGCCTCTTCTGCCTCCCTGTCCCCACAGCTTGTTAAATTTCTGGTAGGGTAAGACAGCCCCACAGCAAGGCTTCAACTCATTTGTGCTGCTGAAGAGGCAGAGCAAAGCCCCAGAACATCTCAAAAGCTTTGGGCTGTTCCAGAACTCAGGTGCAGCATCAGACAAGATCCAGGATAAATATTTCTGAAGAACCTGGTGCTACAGGTGACTGTGACTCTGCACAGCTGAAGGCTGGGTGAAGTGAAGGACAGCAGAAAAGGGCAAGGCTCAGCCAGGCAGGTAAAAACCTTCTGGTGAGGACCAGGAGCCAGGGATTGTCACCAACACCTCAGGGGAAGGAGACACAGCTGCAGCCATGCCAGGCACTGGGTCCTACACAAGTAAAAATAATTACACAAAAGTAAAAAGAATTTAATTATTCTTACTATTTAGTTAATATTATTATTATCTTAATATTATTTAAATATTCTTAATCTGTCATTTCTTAATTAGACAGACATTAACACCCACCTCTCACCCGTGGAAGTGTTTGTAGACATTAGCACACCTCTTTGCTATCACTGTTGCCCCTAAGTAGCCAATTCCTCTCCTTTGCTTTAGAAACTTGAGCAATTAACAGCTTCAAGAGCATTCAAGGGAAATTCAAATTCAAATTCAAATTCACTGACCTCGCCTGGCTTCCCTCCCTCCCTGCAGGGAACAGGACCCAGCCCGTGCTGCCGAGGGCAGTGGGCAGCCCAGCCACTCCTGAAAACTGCATCCACCTCAGGCTTCCCACCCTGCAAAGCATCACCAGCCTGCTCTGGAACATGAGCAGAGAAGAAATGAGCTGGAGCCTGACCTGCAGAATGACCCAGAGCGCTCTGAAACTCCAGGGGCTGGGGCTTTATTTGCAAAGCTGGAAATGTGACTGCAGAAGTGCAGATGGGCTCCACATCCTCATCAGCTCCCTGACCCTGCCTGCTCCTCTGGAAACATTTCCTTGCCCTCAGCTGCTTGGAAATCATTTCACCTCATTCAAATCTTACACCAGGTGGAGATCACTAGCAAAGTTCAAAGATAACACTTTACAGAAACAGAGTTTCCCCAGATCTAGTCACCTCCAAGGAGGAGCAGCAGCACCCTGGGTGCCATTCCTGGAGACGATGATCCAGCTGGAGCTGGTACCTGACCTGATAAAAACAATCTCTGCACCAATATCTGGGGGACAATTTCACAACGGCCAAAGCAAAGCAGTTCTGCCTGGCCTTCTGCTGCATCCAACAGGCAGTGTTTAGTTGTTGCCTCCAGCTGTCCTTTGAAATGTAGATTATCAGGTGGCCACTGCCAGCATGGGCTGCAGAGATAAGAGCAGCAGCAGGCTGAAGGTGAGGCTGTGCTGCAGCCTGGCAGCTCTGCAGTATTGTCACACAGGAGGGAACAGAGCTGAGCAAATGCTTCCATCCAGCTCCCACGCTGCCAGCAGCAATGCTTGATCAGCCTGCCTGCACTGGCAGCTGCAAGAGTTGATAACACTTTCACCTCTCAGGTTGATAGCAACTGCAGTTCTGATTGCATCTCTGAAATTCTCATTTACATTTTTTTCTTTCTCCAGTAAGCCTTCACTTCCTTCCCCATTTCAGGAGGTTGGACTAAGGGATTATTTCACATATGCTTCAATGCAGAGACTGAGAGACTGGTTCACATAAAAGCTAAACAAGTAGGTAAATATTTGCCAAAATAATTTTATTTCTTTTGTGCATTCAAATATTTATAAACATACTTTCTGTAACTTTCCAAGACAGCAGCATCTTATCACAAAACAATTTTATGAACTTAGCTACCTTTTTTTTTGCTTTTTAAACAAGCAGCTCTGCTCTCAAAGTACAAAATTAGATATGAAATTGAATTGCTTGGCAACAGAAACAAGCAAGATATTTTCTTTCATAAAAAGCCAATTTCTTTGCAGCCTCATTTTACAAGCAGGGACTATTAGAAGCAGATATTTTTGGGCTTATCATGGGTCACCAGGATACTAAAATGCATCTATTCATTATGCTTTCATAGTGCCACATACTCTTGTCAGAAATCAGCCTGACAGCACTGGCACTAAATTTTAAGCCTTTTAAGCCTGGTTTTAAAGCATTGCCTTGTGTTTGGATTCAATCATTGCATTTCTGAGGACCATACCTGTGTTTCTGGTTAGGGTGAGCTGGCACTGTGATGCACAACAGGAAAGCTGTTTGTAGAGTTTTCAACACAACCATAATCAATCAATGGCCAAGGCTAATGCATTAATAATCACAAAATAGCATTCAAGGTTTGTATTTAAGCAAAATGAAAATCTGGAGGTTACTCCAGAGTGCAGGTATGTTTTCATTCAAACCCCAAGCCCAATATTCCTCTTTTAAATAACTGTCCCCAAGTATTTAAACAGAAACTGGCTGCAGTGGCAAGCAATATATCACCATTTCTCTGAGGAGGCCATATACTACATCCTCTAACTTTTAAAATTTAACATTTATAATCTCATAGTCCTTTAAGCTAATGTAAAGCTTTAAAGAACAGTGGGCAATTCCACCTTCTGGATGGCAATGTTTCAGTAATTTTATGATGACCAAGAGCTGCAGCCATGCCAGGCACTGGGTCCTACACAAGTAAAAATAATTACACAAAAGTAAAACCACCCTCAGGACACGAGGTAAGCACTGAGCTCCTGGCACTGGTAGCAAGCCACGCTGTCCAGGACCCACTCCCGAGTTACCACGGCAACGTTGCTCTGCTGCTGGATTGCTGCAAGACAAAGACACAAAGAAACAAACGATGCAGCTGTTAGCAAGAGTTCCAAACAAGCTTAAGGTGATGTCTTTCAGAATGAGCTGTTTGCTTTATCTGTGATAAAAAGCAGAGATGTGGCAGTGCCTTCAGCAAGGCAGGTAATGCTGGGCTCCAAGAGCAGAGCTGGCCAAGCAGGAAGCAGTGAACATCACAACATAAACACTAAAACCAAAAAATGCACTCGTTATCTTTTCATTTAGGACCTCAGTGACAGAGCTTTGGTTCTCCTGTCTGCCCAGACACGCTGAGTGTGTGACAAGCAATGAGTCTCATTAAGAGAAGCAGCAGAAAATTACTGAAGTGTTTTCAGGCTGTTCTTCCTCATCCCAGGATCTTTTTTTCTCCTTTCTCCAGTGCCATGGAAACAGCTGGGTTTTTTACATCATCATCCTGCTCCACGGTTTTGTTGGACTTCGGTGTAGCCTAACTAGCTCCCATTCCTTCCAGAGCCCCACGTGCACTTTTAAAGCCTCATGGTTTCTCCTGAGCATTTTGCTTATAAGAAAAAAAAATGCAAAACTACATCTGTTAAAGCTTTTTAACACGACCTTTTCAGACCAAGGCAATCTTCTTCCATCTGAGGCTGTCTCCTAGATCTTACTGGTCCTCCAAGGACATCCCTCCCCACCTTTCAAAAACTATTCAATTAGAAAAGTTTCTGTAAAGCTCAAGATAACACAGAGGACAAGTGAGGCAATAGATTTCATCTGCCAGAGCAGCTCTTCAAACTGTTGCTGGTTCTTGAAACAATTTACTTTGTCCTTCTAGATTTTTCTTACAAGACATACTTCCATCTCCAGGTGCAGTAGAGTTTTGATTTCTCTACAACCCTCTGATATTTGATTTCTCTACAACCCTCTGATATTTGATTTCTCTACAACCCTCTGATATCTACAACCCTATTAAAAGGACAGGTGTGATAAAGACACTTGATATGTACCAGAAAGCAGCTCAGAAAAATGTTGCTTTACCTGTATAATCCATGTTTTCCTTCCAAGCATCTGGCTGCACAACCACAACAGCAGTAGAATTCTAGGATTTTAAGATAAAAAAATAAGAATTGTTATCTGTTCTTATATAATTCTCATATCTATTTACAGAGAGCAATAACTGGGTTAACACTTCAGAGAGGAATTTAAGTAGAGGTAGAAAGACATTAGTTTCTAAGATTCTTCTGTGATTTCTCTCCAGAAATTCTGTGACTACACTCAGTCACTAAAAGGCTTTTGGAGCTGGAGAGGGCAGGCTCAGGGCTAATTTCAGGACAAATTAGTGATCTGGGCAGCACCAAGCATGTCTGCACTACAAGGCAGCCTGTCTTGCAGGGCCAAGGGGCACTGCCAGGCTGTGCAGACAGCTCTGGAACTGTGGGAGGGTGAGAACTCCTCAGCACTTACTGCTGTGGGTGTGAACAGGTCAGGCTGCTTCACCAGCGAGGCACCACAGAGCTCCACCATCCACTCCAGATGCTCTGAAGAGATCAGATGGAATCAGTCAGTGTTTTACATCACATTGAAGCTGCCACTGTTCCCTAAGTGTTTGTTCCAGCTCACAAACCACCATCACTTGAAAGAGATGTCAGCCTCAGCAGGAAAAAAGAATCCTTTCACTTCCAAACCTGCCAGGGAACATCAGCTCCCCCCTCCCAGACAGATCTGCACAACACAAAACCCTGAAAAAGCCACAATTTATTTCCTCTTATCATAAGGATGCAAGAGGTGAATGGAAATTAAAAATGAGAAGTTTGAACTGTGATTACCTCTCATTAACAGAAGTAGCCAAAGTACTTAATTTGCACCAATTTGTTGAATTGGTAGTGAAGGAGATTAAGTCTCTCAAGTATAAGAGCCAAAATCGAGGATCACTGCAGCAGGTGAAAGCACTGCACCCTTTGTAGCAATTACTGTAAATGTCAAGAAATGTGAGTGTATTTCACCCAGTCAAAAATAAAGTTATATTGGATAAATCAGAAAGTTTCTGCTGAATAAGCCACAAAAATGGGAAGTCAGGTACAAATATTTGAAGTAGAAAAACTATCATTAATTTTTCAAAAACTTGTAACATAGTTTATTAAATTTTAAAAGTAAAAAATGAAGCTATCCTGAACAGCTTTTTCTTTATGTATTAAATTCTAGATTTGTTGAAGTGTTTCACTTTTAACACTTGTTCCTATAGACAGGAGGCTACAATAAGGACGTGTCAACTGCTAGGAAAAGGATATTTAGGAACTGTTTACTAAGAAGAAAAAATGCTCAAGTATGAGTGATCAAAACCATCAATAATAATTACCAGACAGCATGACATTAATGCTTTTCCTTCAGTGCTAGAGAATCAGAGATAAACTAGATAAAAGGCCCAGTTTGAAATGCAGCAAAATTGCCAGGGGGTTGTCTGAGGACATCCAAATAGAAGAGAACAGCATTTCCACTCCATTTGGAATAGAAATGGATAAAATTATTTATCTACACCTTACCCCATGTAGGTAAAGAGGTAAAAAATTATCCAAGAAGAGGTGAAATGTAAAATTCTGGTGAATGCACAGTGCCTCTCCAAGTATTTTTTTATTTTAACAATTCATCCAATTCCACTAAAACACCACACCTGTAGTCATGTCAGTGAAGGGTCCACAGCAACAGATCTCAAAGTCTTTAAAGATCTGCAAAGCAAGGAACATGTTAGAGTTCATGGGGGGATTTTAAAGAGTAATGCTTTTTCATTGCACTTCCAGGGCATGCTATCAAATTATGATTATTTCACAAAGCATATCCAAAGCTTTTGTAACCCACAAACCAAAAGAATTTAAGAATACAACTAAAAGAATATTAAAGACCACTAACCCTCTGTTATAAAAAGACAGCATTCACTCCAAGCTTAGGGAGCCCCTACAGAATATCTGCTCTGCTGCTGACAGAGCTCACCCTTCATGCACCAAAATGATTAATTTGTACAACTCTGTGTGTACAGAATAGCAGAGAAACTGGGAGAAGTTCCAGAAACTCAGCCAGCACAGCCTGGAAACAGAGCAGGATGGAATCTGAATCCCTGATGTGCTTGTACCTTGTCAGTCAGGGCCTTTCTGGCCCTCTTGGGACCTTGATGGTTTCTCCCATTGATTACATCTCCTCTGACTTCAAAGTTCTCCTGGAACACAACAAAAACAAGGAATCAGAAGTTAAGAGACTGAGAACACTTTCCTGTCAGAGTTCTGCTTCAAGATGTCAGATTTCAGAACTGAAAATCCATGAGTGTGTTCAGAATATGAATTAAAAGGCTTTGCAACAGAAATGCTGGAGTATGAAACCCCTGCAGCATCAGGCAATTTTTAAAGAAACAAATTATACTCAAGCTGTATAGTAAGCTAGCAAACTAAATAAAAGAAGCAGAAAACTCCAAGACTATAATTGTCTTATCAGTAATATAATTATTACTATTACTGTCTTATCAGACTATACTTGTCTATCAGTATTTGATAGGAATTATCTGTATATAACATTATTTCCTTAAGCAAAGAATAGATCTTTTGCTCTATGCCATAATCTCTTAATATCAGTAGGAACACTTATAAAAATATGTCTATAACCTGTTAAAAATAATAGGGACTCATTATGTCTTCAACACCAATGAATGCACTAAATGTGGATTTTGGTCCTAGCATTTGGTAAAACCAGAACCTCAGGTTTTAGAGCTAAAATTCCATATTAAATATTTAGACAATATCTGTCTATACAATACAAATAAACTCCTAAGTCCACCATGTAACAGCATTACTTAACCATCTGACATTTGATAAAAGACCTACCTCATCCAGTATTCTTCCTGCTTTAAAAGACTGAATTATCCCTAAAGAAAAAGATCAGAACAAGAAAAGTAATTTTATCCAGCAAAATGGTTCTTCCACTACCAGTATTCTGACTTCATTGCTACATTAAATTGAAGGTATTTGTACTGAAGGAATACAGTATAACACAGAATACTTAAAAGAATTTTTTTTACCATTTAGAAATAATACTAATTTTACACTAATTGATGCCATGCATTGCAAATATTGAAATTAAGAGGGACAAAAGGCTTTTGCCACAGTGGGGAGCAATGCAGTGTGGCCATCTGAAAGCAGAAACAATAAGAGTAAGTAATTCACAGGAGTAAGAAGCTAAATATTGCTGCTTGTGTTCCTTAATTTCAATTTCTTTTAAATTATTTAGAAGAAACACTGCAAAACATCAGATGGCAAGGCATGAAGAGATCCTTTTTCTTTACTGTAACACGTGCACTCATGCAGAAGGGCACAGCCCACTGATCTCCAGGAGCAGTGACACATACACTGGTAACTGACCACCCACTTTCCTCCTGCAATGCCCAGGAAATACTTCAGGGTCCGTTCACACACCAGCTCCTCATCTGCAGGGCAAACAACAGCAAACTCTCTTAGTTTTGTCAAAAGCAAGCATTCTTTGCTAAGTGCAGCAGCAAAATATCACAACTATACAAAGGTTCCAAAAATCCACTGTCATGATGTTACTAAACTGAAGGAAATGAGCAGAAATTAATCACATGTACCAATTGTGAGCCCTTTTAAAATTATTCAATAAAGATAAGAGGCAAGAAAAAGCATTACTTCTTTGGGAACTATCTTTGTTTTCTTTTGGTTGGTTCTGAACCACTTCACACTAGTGTGTTGTCAACACCTGAACATTATGAGCAAACAGCAGAACAAACAAATACCAAGTAAGAAACTTTGAATTCCACGAGGGAAAACATGCCCTTACATTGATCCTCTGAAACAGAATGAGAAAACTCACAAGCTTAAACAAAAAACTTGCAATAGAGTAAACAATCAATACCTTTTCCTCAAACTTATTAAATTTATTGCTGAGCTGTCTGCTTGCTGTTTAAAGTGAAGGTAAAATTCTATCTGGTCTGTCAATAGAGGATTGGGTCCCCTAGCTCCCAACAAACCTGTTTTCATTATGACATGGGTTGTTCCTTCAGTAATGTGATTAGATAAAGTGCTCTGAGTTTTTTTCACAAACTTCTGGACCACCAACTGAAAAGTAGTTAAGAAAATAAAAGTTAGCAACAGTTTGAACACCCCCCAACAGCCCCAGTTTGTAGGAGCACAATGTAATAGGATAGTTACTTTAAAGTACCAGTTTTATGTGTTGGCACACAGAATGTACATTCCCCTAAGTCAGTTTTGGCACCATTCAACAAACTAAAGTAATGCAGAGCTCTTGGTGTGTGTTTTATAACCCAAAAGCCAAACTGAGTGCAGAAACAGCTTTATTAGCAACTCAGAATTACTACTTACAGAATGTTCCCTATGGATCAGAATTTGGGTGAAGCAGCATCACCTGAGAACACTGCCTGGATCAAACAGCCCCTCCCAGCCCCAAGGCTTTCTACAAGGCTTTGCAATCATCTGTTTTCCCCCCAGACATCAGGGATTGTTTAAAAAGTTCCAATTTCACTAAGCTTAACAGTGCCATTACAGGCAGCATCCTCACAGCTTTAGGAGTGAGAAAGTTTGACTTTGCTGCATTACTCACCTGCAATTCCTGCAAGATCAGTTTTATTACACTTAGAGATCTCTCTGCTAAGGACTGTGGTGGTAATCAGGAGTTATTAACTAGTGATCTCCAAATTCTGAAATCTACTTACATGCTCACTGTGATTCAGACCTGAGACCACAACTGACATTTCTTTCCTCTTGGTCACCACTGGATTTGCAGTATTTTCTTTCCCAGCTGCATTGTGCAGAACAGGTACAGGAGAACATTCACTTCTCTTCAATTTGTGTCCTGGGCCACAGCTTTTATCAGTGTTCTGAGCCATCACAGGCCCTGCTGGGGCTTCTGCAGTTTGAGGGGTAAAAAGCCTCACAGAGGAGGAAGAGTTATCTGGGGTTACATTTCCAAAAAGATCTGATGATGCACCGGTCCCAGATTTCTGCTCCTCTGTATTTCCTGAAGGAAACAAGAAATTACTCTTTGAGAAAACTGCATTTTTCTTGTGGTCATGGTAGAAGGTTGTTGCTCTTTCTTTCTGGTTTAAATTCTGCAGTTACTTCCTCTCCTTTTGTGCTTATTCATCTTTGCCTCTATCATTACTTTTTCCTGATTTATAGGCAAGACACTAGAATACCTGTGGAACTTTTAGTAACATATTTGCCAAATTGTCCGAATTTAGAAGTGAGACAGAAAAACTCCTATTAGTGTCAAAAAGCTGTCACACCCCATTTGATGGGCAGCCATACAGCTGGGCTACCAAAGCAGCAGCACCTTTTTAAAATTACCAGGAACACTTAAATTAAAATACAGGAAAAAGCTGTATCTTGCTGATATGTAAAAACATGAAGAGGAGAAAACCACCAGAATTCAAAATGCACTGGGTTTCTCTTCAGTGTTACCTGCTTCAGGCTGACACTGCCTGTGCTCTTGCACTGCCTCCTGCACAGGTTTTGTCTTTTCAGAGGGAGTTTTGTTCTGTAGAACACTGTCACTCTCAGGGCCTTTCTCCAGATCTGATTTCTTCCTTAAAGAGGATTTAGAAGCTGAAAGCAACAATTCTGGAGACCTTGACAGAGGGAAATTGATTTTAATACCCTTTTCACTCTTTTAAGCATCAGAAAAATGTAGCAACAGTGAAACTATTGTAATTTCCCAGAAGCTCAGGGATATTTTTTTAAAATAAAAATTTAGAAATGAACATAAAAAACCCCAAAGCTCCAAACAAAACCACTAACCTGTTTATTTCTTTACTCATTTGATCCATTTCAGATGCTCCTTCAGTACTGGAATGTGGCAGCTCCCTGTGTGCAGGTAAAACTTCACAGTTCTGGCTCCCATTCTGCTCTAGCACTGCTTCAAGTGCAGCCATTTCTTGCTGCAGTTTTTTCAGGCTATTTTGCATAGCATTCTTTTGCTGCAAAGGAGCACAAGAATGCCAACATAAGCAAACTCAGGATTAATTTCTTTAACAAACACTTGAAAATTAGAAATAGCAAAATAGTTTTGATTAAAGTTTTTGCCACGTGTTCAAAAGGTGACTGTGGTGCTTTTACAGTAACAAATAGTGCACACATCCCACATCAGAAGCAAAAACACCCAAGCAACCACACACTCATTTTGCCAGTCATGTCATTTCAGTTTAGGTGCCTCAGAGTTTAATCAATCAGAAAACAACACAAATCCTGCATGAATTTATTTGAAAGTAATTTTGTCCAAACTCCATTAGCAGCTCAATCCATGATGCTCATTATTAAATTTTAAATTGAGTCTTTCATTTTCCACAGTTACTGAAAGCCCCAAAGATCATTTAAAGGACTAAAATATTTCATAATATTCTTCCTTATGTCCCCCCTCCAAAATTAGATTGCATGTTCAAAACCACACCATAGGCAGGTCCTCATAAGAACAGCTCAAAGGGTTCCAAAAGTCCTTTTTAAAAACCCAAAGCCTTTACATGATGAAGCAATTTGCAGAGAACTGAATATTCCATTTGTAGCTCCAGCACTGGCACCGTGTGGAGCCTCTTTGTTACTGAACCCATAAAAACTCCCAAGCACACAGAGAAGCATGACCACACCACAAACCCAAATCCCACACCCCCAGAGTGGGATTTCATTAACCCATCCAGCCTGGGCACATCCCAGGATCTCCATCCATGAAGCTACAGCAGGAACAGTGTCCTGCCAGCTGATTCCACTTCACTGATGCTGCAAACAGGAGAAGCAGCCACAAAGCACAAAAATTAAATTCACTTTTTTCTGGACAATACATAAAGCCCATAGGGCTGAAAATGCTGAAGAGAGAGTTGCCATAAGACTTATCTTAAAGTCACACAGGACAAAGAAAAACACAAAGCAAAACCAAAAAACCCAAGCTTCTAACCCTCAACTGAACCTCCAGCCCAAATCAGAGTCAGGCCACTGAGCAGCATTCAGGATTGTAACAGCAGACAAAAAATACACTTCCAGACACACCTTTCATTAGACACTGCCCGTTGGGACTTGTATCTATAACACTCTCATATGGAATTATTTGATTTAATCTTTACACAGAGAAGACAAGTCTCTGTACTTCTAAATATCATATTGTAATAAATCTAATCCTTATCACCAAATCCTTATATATTCCTATTATTAAAGTTTTTAAATATAGGAAGCTGACATTTCCAGCACTGGCCAAGTGTGGAGATGCATTAATTAGCATCTCCCATAATTAAGCCCTGTAACCAATAGCACATAACAAGCTGTGGCCATTGCAGTTTAAGGTCACCAGGGGAGAAAAACTGGACAAATAGTGGCATAGAAGCAGCTCTACAGTTCCTCATTAATTATGCTTTTGGAAGTAATTTAGTGATAAAAAATTATGATGAAAGGAATTTTCCACTGTGTTGACTTCACAGCTTGCTTATCTCCTGGAATGCAAGCTGCTTCCAGCACTCAGGGCATGAACTCACTCACCTGGGTAGTGAGGATTTCACCCTGAGAGAATGCTCCACAGGAATCTTCCACAATGCTTATTTCACTGTCAGATCCAGATGCTTCACCTTGAAGAAGATGGAAAAAAAAAACCCTGGGTTAAAGAAGCAAATCCACCAAACAACAATAAAACAACCAACATTATCCGTAATTTCTTAGCATGTGGAAGCTTTACAGAACTAAAAACTATAACACTAAAATGACATGTTTTGAAAGTGTTGAAGTTAGGACAGATCTTTAAGTGAACATTTCAAGGAATACCATGTCACACACATGACAAAATAAACAGAATTCAGTGTTTCAACAGTGATGAAAGAGTCCTAAACATTTACAAAGGCCATAAAAAAGGCAAAATATTCACTACAAAATTCTACAGCCAATATCAACAAACATTTCATCTGGGGAAAAAGCTTGGACAGGCTGGGAAATTTTGCTGACAATGCAAGTATCCCATTGCAGTAAAAGAACCAGCATTTCCCTAAACATGAATTCCCATCAGTCAGTCTCTAATGCCCAGGCTGTTCATTTGTGCTCTGAACAAAGAGCACTGTAAGAACATAATTTTCAGGAAATAAACCACTGAAGGTTTTTTGTTTAAGACTGATACATTCTCCTAGAAGAGCAAGCACCCCTTAAATACAAAACAAAATTTCCATGCACACACCAAAAACCTTGGTGTAAGGACATTATAAACAGCTGCAGAGAGAAAAATCTTGGTCTGTACCTAGATTTGCTCTCATGTCTGGGTCTTCTTGGCTTTCATCTTTGGTCTCCTTGAGCCCTTCACCAGAATCCTGAGAAGTTTCTTTACTGTCATTTCCACTGCTCATTTGTTTGGACACCTGAGCTTGTGGTAAATGTTTGCTCAGTTCTTGTGCTCCATTAAATGATTCCTCAGACATGTTGGACTGGGAAGAAAACAAGTTGACAGAGCATTCTGACTCCTGGCTTGGTGAAGCACAGCCATGACTTAGGGCAGCTTCAGACACTTTCTGCACGACCTTGCCATCGTTACTCACACTGTGAGGCAGCACACTGGGGCTCCCTGGGCACTCTGCCACTGGGGACTCCACCAGAGGTGCCATTTGTTTGTCAGAATGCAAAGGTGTGCTTGCTGATTTGCTGAAGATGAATGTCCTAAAGCATGGCAAGTCCTCATCCTCACAGGACTCCTCGTCTGAAGATGGCAGTTTCTGCACTCGTCTTCGAGACCTTCGAGGACCCCGAGGTCTTGGCTTGGAACTTGCATTTCTATTGTGCAGATCTTCTCCCAGGGCACTGGCACTCTTTACAAACACTGCAGATTGCTCTTTCCTATCAGTTTCACACAGGCTGCTGTTCTCCTCAATGTCAGTATCAGAGCACAGTAAGGCATTCGGGGTTTCAGACAAACCTGTAAGGCCACAATTCTCTCCAAGAGGCCCTTGCAGAGCCTCTGCAGCTGTGCTTACAGTTTGGGCTGCTTCTTCTTCATCCCCCTTTACATGTTTTCTTTCTCTTTTGCTGCTTTTTGTGCTAGTGACTTCAGAGCTGAATTCAGCAGGGCTTTGCTGACAAGTTGCAGAACAAATCGTTGATGTGGATTGAAAATGTAGAATTGGTCCTGTGCAATCAAGTTCAGTCTTTCCTGCCTGATTGCTTTCTGAACTGAAGCTGTTTTCCTGGCCCGTGTTTAAATCATTTTGTCTGGAATCATGCTTCTCTGTGTAACTCTGGTCACTCTGGCTTCCATCACTTTCAATGGGATTCTGTCTCAACTCACTTTCTATTCCTACCTCAGTTGACACTGGCTTTTCATTGTCCTGCTCTTCCTGCAGCAATCCATTGTTGTGCTCAGTCTGAGCAGTTCCTGCTCTTGCTGGTGTCAGAGTCCCTTCCTCTGCAGCCTGTGAAATGCCATCCCTGTGCTCTCCTGTGCTGACAGCAAAGCAAGGCCCAGGATCAACACGTGCAGACTCACAGGACTTCAGCTTCTCTTTCTCAGAAACCCTGCTCAAGTTTTGAGCAGCTGCTCTCTCCTCTTGCAAGCTTTCTGGTTGTAACTGTTTGCTAGCCTTATTTTCTACCTGAGCAGCACATGATAGATTTAAAGTCTCAGAAGGAGGATCTGCCACTGCATGAGACTGAAAAAGGCTGAAGGAGGAGCGCTTGGAGTGCCTGAATATATTCCTCAGATACTGTGTGTCCAAGTCACTGTCTTCGGCTTCCTTAGTCAATTCCAAAACATTTTTAGCCACTGGCAACTTCTCAGCTTTGAAGTCCCCTGGAACATTTTGTGAATCATGCCCACATTCTGGGGGAGAAGCAGTAGGTGATTCAGTCCCCTCCTCAGTCTGGTGAGAAGCAGTTTCCCCAGCAGACACTGAAGGAAGTTGTAGGAGGAGGGGGCTACCAAGTATTTTACTGTCTTGAGAACTTGTATCAGGAACAGTGGAACCACAGTTTGAAGGCAGACGTGAAGGACTGAACAGACTTTTTCTAGTTTCTGCAGTGTCAGAGAAATTTTTTAGACTAACCTGCACTTCATTGGCTTGCAGATCACCTCCCTCCAAATTAGTGACTGGCCTGTAACTCAGCTCATCTTGAGGCTCACACAGCTCTTTGCATTCAGCAGAGTGAGTTGCCACGTTCCTTTGGTCTCCAGAGACAGACCTTCCATGATCACTGTTATTTCTGGCTCCCTTTCCTCCTTTCCTTGTTTCTTTTGTCATTTCTTCAGAGAGCAGCTGAAGCCTTCTGCTGCGTCTGACTGGGTTTTGCTCGGAATCCTCTTTCCTGGGCTCTCCACTGCTGGGATAGCTGTCAATCTGTGGCTCAGCTGCATCAGGGAAAACAGAGCCTCTGTCCACTACTAACTGCAGAGCACACATAGTTCTGCTAGAATGCCTGCATCTTTTTGCTGCAGAGCTTCTCTTTTTGCTGCTTTTCTGATCACAGTTATACATCTCTGGTTCCCCCTCACAGTGCTTGGTGGTGACCTTCTCAGCAGCTTTCTTCCACGTGGACTCTTCTCCTTCCTCAGGTTCTCTTAATGTATTATTTGCTCTATTCTGAGAGAGGTGACTCTCGTTCACAGCAACACTTTCATCACATCTTTTCTTTTCAGCATTTCCAAGGCCCCCATTAACACTTTGAGGGCCCCCAGCTGCCTTTTCTGTATCTTTTTTCTTGATGAAATCCTCAGGTTGCAGGACACAGGCAGTCTTCCTCTTTCGTTTGAGTCTGTCTTTGCTGAAATCAGTCAGGCACTTAGCAGCAGCCACATCTTCCTTTTGCCTAGCAGGCAAAATATCTCTCAAGGTAGAAGGGGGATTTGATTTCCTCTCTCTCCTGTATGTTTTGCCAAATATTTTATCTTTGATGTCCTCTGCTTTTTGGTTTGACCATCTCTTTTTCCCTTCCACTGCTGCAATTTCCATGGAATCTGCCATAGGGTCAGTCTTTGCTGAAATACAGGACTCTTTATCTGATAAACACAGATCTCCTTCACCTGAGACATCAGCTGATGCAGCAGATTCATCCACTGAAGAACCAGAAGACAAAATCTCATTGCTTTTTGAAAACCATTCGTTGACTTTCTGAATGCTCTGCTTCAGTTTCTTCTTGGAGACTTTATTCAGGGTGGCAGAGTGGAGTGTCTCTGGCTGAGGCAGCTCCTCCAGAGGAAGTTCTTTGTCATGGGAAGATTCATTCTCAGGTTCATATCCCTCTACAGCTTCCACACTTTGTACATCAGTATCCATTTCCCTGCTTTTATCCAGCCTGCTCTCTGAGCTATTTTCTAAATCAAACTCTTGGTTTTCAGTGTTGTGCTGGGTTTGCTGTTCCTCCATTTCTTCTGGGTTCTTAGAGAATGATGTGTCCCCATCCAGTGTGGGACTGGCAGCACCTGCTCTGTCACACTGCTCTGGGGGCAGCTCTGCAGCAAGGACACTCAAAGGAGAACTCTGGCCTTCAGTCACATTCACTTGGTCAGGCTTGGCACATTCAGTGATGCTCTGAGTGCTTCTCTTGCTCAAACACTCCTTTGAGAAATCCCCTTCACCTGTTAGATTTACAGGTATAATAAATTATTAACCTCTATTCTACACACTAGCACAAGCTTAATGGCTACTTTGTTTTAAAAGAACTGCTCTTATTTCCCCCCTTACCAGAATATTACACCACACAAATCTCCCTCTAGAGAAAGGCAGAAAGATCATATTCTAATTTTTTAAATGAATTTTTAGCCAGTGCTTTTTCATCTGTAATATAACTCATGTAGAAGAGATTAAGTTTTGTACTTTGTTCAAGTTACTTTTCTTCCTTTCTGTTCCTGTGCATACAACATCCACATTTTGTATCTAGGCTACAGGAACAGTCTTGTATTAGCTGTAGGCATTAACAGAAATACATTATACAAAATTTCAAGCAATTTTGTATACAAAATCATGTGAAATAAAATGTTAACTTGTGATCTCTTTCAGGCTTAATCACCTTTGTCACCAAAATAACAACACACCTGTGCTGTCTGGTAGTGTTATTTCTTTGGCACACAGCTTGTCAGGCTGTGCATTACAAGAATTTTCATTCCCTTTCTCAGCACTCTCAAGTTCTTCCAGCCTTACTTGAGAAGAAATCTGAACTGCTCCTTTGTCTTCAAACCTGTTGGGAAAGGAAATCTACTTTCATTACAGATAAAACCATAATAGATAGTATAGAAGATGATAGTTATTTTCCCCTTTTTGCTCTCTGAAATAGTTTCTGGAGAAGTTAAGTTGCACTACTGACACCACAATCAGATCTCTTCAGAGTTGCAGGCCATTTCTTTAAAATATTCTCTCTTGCAATTCTGAATTTAGTATTTACTTTCTAAAGCACAGTGCCTACTTTTCTATGGAAGATCTATGTCCACAACAAAACATTTAGAAAAAAGTTTTAAAGCATGTAATATGGCAAACTGTTGGAATTCAGCTCCCCATTCTACCCTGATGCCCTCAAAGTTGAAAACCATCTGTCTGCTTAAAAATTTTAATCAGTCCTATGCTAAGAAACTAGAACACAGGAAATGAGAATATTGAACTACTGTCTGTAGAAAATATGAATTCCTTAATCACCTTTACTTACCCAGGTTTGCTTGCCTGTTTCAAAAACTCTTCAGATGATCCAGAGCCTGAAAACAAATAATCTGTTACTCTGGTTGGAATGATTCAGAGAAGGGTGACCTGCAGATTCAGTGGTTATCTGAATATCTCACATACATGCCTACTCCTTTCCAGAGCTGGATGCTTTCAACTTTTAGCAGATGAAACCAAGTTCAATTATGAAATATTTTATCTGATTATAATGATTTCTGTGTATTACTATCTACATGGCTCCAGCACCAAAATGTGTTTAAATACAGTGACTGATAACTAAGAGTTAATTAGCTAAAGTTGCTTTCTGATTTCTAAATTTATACACAAAACAGTTACTAGTATTTAGAATTTCGAGCTGGAAGTCAGAGAAATACATTCAAATGCCTCTCACAGATCCTTTGATCCTGGCAGATGCAATAAGGAAAAAAGTGAGGAAACAAACTCTACCCATTGAAAGCAGCAATTCCTTCCTTGAAGGAACAGCATAAAAAATAAGCTATGCATGGCATCTGTCCTGTTTCTCATAACAATCAACACCAGATCAAATAAAATTCTGAAAAGCTAGAATAGATAGCAAAAAATATTAATATCTCAAATAGATTTCATTCTCATCTCAAGCACTAGTGACAAGGCTCAGCATTTTTCAGAAAACAGTGGTTACCTTTAGCTATAACAGCTAAATTTTTAAAAAAATTTTTGCACCTTCTCTGGGTGGTGTACACCAAAGCTTAAGGGCTCACTACAGCAGCATTATTTGCCATGACATAATTATGTAAAAAACCCTTTTGATTTACCAACTTGGAATTGCCATAATTTGTCCCTTTGTTGTAAATTTGTTAAGTAGAAATTAGTGTTTATAAAGACTTTGAACATAATCACCTTTCACTACTTTGCAAGCATTGTAAATAGGATCAATTGGTGTGGATTTACAAGAGATCTTACCAAACTCTATATAAGTACCCTTTTGAGAGCCAGATTTCTGGGGTTTGTTTCTTGGGTGACACATTTTGGCATCTGCAAGCTGAATATTCACACTAGCTTCCTGCTGACAGGAAAACAGAAAGGAATAGTTATTTACAACACTGGGGCATTACAAAAAATTCAGAGCTATTTAAACTTTAACAGGGGGCTGATATAAATACTTAGTTCATATGCACTGGTAGCTTCTATGCACAACAGAAGTAATTTAGCATATTCATAACAGTAGTGAAATGTGTCAATAGAAACAATGAATCATGCATTTAACAGATCAAATCATTAACAGCTTGATCTCACATTCTGTATTGTCTAACATTCCATTCAGCTTTAAGCAGATGAAAACAGAAACACCATGCCATGGACAGTCACACACAGAGCAAATACCCCAAGCTGGGTGATGCCTTGTGAACCCTAAGATACAGTTATGATCTTACCCCTAAAAAGGTAAAAACCCTACAAAGTTAAACAGCCTCATGGAACAAGCAGGTGGAACAAGTTTTCAGTGCTGGTGTCAGTAACAGACTGTATTATGGCAACATTATGTGTAAGTTCAGGTCATTTTATGCAAACATCTTTCTCAAGTAGGTTAGGAAGAAAAACAAACAAAAACATACAGATGTCCTTGTCCAGATCACTCAGGTCAAACAACAGTCTGAGATCAACCCAAAATCTCCTACCTCATTCTTTTATGTATATGTGCTTATACACATTCCAAATACTTTTAAAAACAATCCACAAAAATAAAATGGGAAAAACCAGTTACCAAGGTGAAGTTTTCTTGTCCATTTCCTTTAGCACTTTTCCTCCTGTTTCTGAAGCCTTTACTTTGGATGACAGAACTTTCTTTACACAGGGACTCAGCAGCAGTGGCTTCCGTGGATGTTTTAGCAAAGTGATGACTCTTTAAAACTAAACCATGTTATTAGGTTAAAAAAAAACTTACACTGAGTATGACTCAAGTATTATACATTAATGAAATAGACTTGTGCAGACTCTGTGCACTTAGTGCATATACAGCTAAAATATGTTTATCCAAGAAAGAAATCTTGTTGATTATTAGTCTGAGCATTTCTGAGCATTCTTCAAGTAATAATTAAGATCTTGATCCTGCCAACTAATTTTCTCAACCAATTTTGGTTATATAGATAATCTAGCAAGAGCAGGATCTAATTCTAGTTATTTTAGAATGGGATACCTTATAAATAATCAAAGGTCAAAACCTTGTTTAAACAAAAAAAAACCAACCTGGGGATATATATTCACAACACTTACACTTCACTCCAGTGTCAAGCTCAAAAGCATGGATGGTTTCCAACAGTCCTTCAATTAGTTGCTTAAATCTGGAATTTTCTTTCAGACTTCTGAAATAACATCAGCACTTCAGTTATTTTAAGACAAATCAACAGGCTAACTATAAATATTTCTAGAATTTTGGCTGAACCAAAAAAGGGGTAAAACTCTGAAGTGGAAAACGGTACAAGAAGAAATTGTTGCCAAGGAATAACAAATTCCCCCAAAGAACCATTACTATGGGAACTGAAATTACCACGAAGTGAGCATATCATTTTTTCATACAGGTTTAGTAGAGAGAAATCAGTTGCCAGGATGAAACACCAATCTAGCACAGACACTTGTTGAGAGAGGAGTGATCACCTGGACAAAGCTCACATTGAGGTAAGATATTACATTTACTCCTTCAGAAATAGGCAGCTCACTAAAAAACCTCTTTTCTTCTGTACTTCACTCTTCTGCTAATATATTTTAAGCCCATTGTTAATCTTTCCTCAGAGCTCAAACTCATCCTCCAGCCCCCTCACCAAGATGATTTCCTCACCTCTTGGTAACTTCAGTCTTACACAGAGGACACTCTACCACCCCTTTTTTCTTTTTGTTGATAAGTTTGAACATGCAGAATCTAGAAAGAAAGAACACTTGTGATGGCAACAAGAGAAGGATATTATTTTCCTTAAAACTGACTATGCACATTCACCACTTAGTGACTCAAGGATCCATTCCTGTTCTGATGTTACAGTGAGTTAACTGATCCCCTTTGACACCTTTTAAAGTTGCAGCTGTCTCTCTTGTACAGAATTGACATTTTCCCCTCAAGTAGGTGCACATGAACTTATCAAAACACAGTATAAATACATGATTAGCACTGAAGAAATATATATGGCAATAAGCCCCAGTATAAATAGAACTAAAAATCATAAACCCAAAACCATTATATATGGAAATGAAAAATTTCTTTCTAGAAAGAAAGAAAGAACACTTGTGATGGTAACAAGAGAAGGATATTATTTTCCTTAAAACTGACTATGCACATTCACCACTTAGTGGATCAAGGATGTATTCCTGTTCTGGTGTTACAGTGAGTTAACTGATCCCCTTTTTTGATGTATTTTAAAGCTAGAGTTCTCTCTTCTACAGAACTGACATTTTCCCCTCAAGTAACTGCACGTGAACTTATCAAATCACAGTATAAATACATGATTATCACTGAAGAAATATATATGGCAATAAAAAACCATTATATATGGAAATTTAAAAATTATTTTTAGAAAGAAAGAACACTTGTGATGGCAACAAGAGAAGGATATTATTTTCCTTAAAACTGACTATGCACATTCACCACTTAGTGAATCAAGGATGCATTCCTGTTCTGGTGTTACAGTGAGTTAATTGATCCCCTTTGACACCTTTTAAAGTTGCAGCTGTCTCTCTTGTACAGAATTGACATTTTCCCCTCAAGCAGCTGCACATGAACTTGTCAAAACACAGTATAAATCACGATTAGCACTAAAGAAACATAATTAAAACTGCTATATATGGAATTAAAAATTATAAACCAGAAAACCATTATATGTGGAAATTAAAAACTGCATTGCACTTGCAAGATTTCAAACCTACCTGCAGAATATGTGATCACATTTTGTTGAAACAGGCTCTTGCACCACATCCAGGCTACAAAGAGGGAAACAAAAACAAGAGCACAGAAGTTACAGACTTCAACCAGAACCTTTGCTATTTCAGCATCTGTTTGCATTAAAGAAATGCAAAATATTAAATGAACATTAAATGTAACATTAAAGAACTACAGACCTCGTTCACCTTTCAGAGACAAGGGACAAAAGCCCACACAGCTTTACAAACACTCCTCTAATCCATCAGATATATTTTTCTCCTCACTGAATAGAGAGGACTGACATTCAGGTTTTAATAGAACAGCAAAATATAGAATATAAGTTTTTCCTTGCACTTTCTCACTTGAGCCTTACAAATTAGCAATATGTTTAGTTCTAAGCACAAATCTCTTTGCTTTCTGGTAAGCCATAGAAGTGATAAAGCATTCTCAAAGAAATGATAATTAAAAAAACATACCTCCAAAATATTAACTATACTAATATTATTCTCTGACATACCATATTGGGCACTCCAAGTTCTTCTGCATGGCTGAAAGCACATTTTGTACTTGTCCAATAGTAATCACTGACAATTCCATCCTTCACGTCCAAAAATATTCTACAGGAAGAAAAACCAACATTATCAGCTTTGTTTCTGCAAAAATTCTTTTGCCTCCCAGGACCATGCTCCCTCCCCCATGGCTCTGCTCTAACTGCAGAATGGTATCAAGTTGTTTTTACTTAACATTTTACAGTACAGAGGGGTTCTTACTCTGAACGTTTGCGGTCTTGTACCAAAGGAGGGCCCAGGGTTTGTTCAGGTGAAATCCACCAGGAACACAAAACAGCGAGGGCTTGGCTGGGTGGGGAAGCAGCAGAGCCGAGGGCAGACAGGGCGGACCCACGCGAGCCCGAGACCCCGCGGCAAACCCTGAAAACAAAGAGAAACCTCCCGGGGCCGGCCCGGCAGCGAGGCCTGCCCGCAGGCGGAGGAGAAGCGTACCGGCACGGGCGGAGGGAGCGGGGCCAGCGCCGGGGCCGTCAGCGCAGGGCAGCACCGGAGCGGTCCGAGCCGGTGCGGTCAGTGCCAGGGCGGTCAGGGCCGGGCTGCTGCGGTCAGCTCAGGCCGGTGCCGGGAGTGTCAGACCGGAGCCGGTGCGGTCAGTGTCAGTACCAGGCCCAGACCGGTGCCGATGCGGTCAGTGCCAAGCCCAGACTGATGCCGGTGCGGTCAGTGTCAGACCCAGGCCGGAGCCGGTGCGGTAGGTGCCGGTGTCGGTGCCGCTGCCAGGCTGTGGCCGGTGCCGTCCCTGTCTCCCCTCAGCGCTCCCGTCTCCCCTCAGCGCTCCCGCGCCGCCTTTCGCGCCCTTCCCGCCCCGCCGCGCGCAGCCAATCCGAGGCCGCGGGACCGGCGCGCGCACCAGCAGCGCCCCCTGACGGGCTCCTTCCTCCCGGCGGGGCGGGGCCAGGCCGGCCTGCTTGGCTCTGATTGGCTTCGGTTGGCTCTGATTGGCAGCTGATTGGCCGCCGCCGCGGCGCAGCCGCCGGACGTGCGTGGCCGCGGCGCGCGCGCGCGCGCGCGCCTGCCTGGCTGTGTTTATTGTTGTGGTTCCGCGACTCTTCTGGCTCCGCCCCCTCCACCAACCAGAGCGGAGGGCTGGATGAGTGACAGGCGGCTCCGCCAATAGGCGCGCGCAGCGGGCGCGGGGCGGGCCGCCCGCGGGCCGCCATGTTGCGCCTGTCGGGAGGGCTGGCGGCGCCGGGCCCGGGCCCGCGGGAGCGCGCCATGGAGCCGCGGGTCACCCTGCGCGTCACCTGCCGCGGCCACAGCCGCACCTTCCTCGTGTCCCACCCGCCGCACACGACCTGGGCCGATGTGGAGGCCATGGTGAGCGCGGGCTGGCCGCGGGAGGCGGGGCGGGGGGCCGCGGGAGCCGGCCCGGCGAGGCTCTGAGGGCCCGGCGAGGCTCTGAGGGCCCGGCGAGGCTCTGAGGGCCCGGCGTCTCCAGCCGCGCTTTCCGAGGCAGTGTCCTCCATTTCACAGGCTCTTAGAACTGCTGCGCTCCCGATTTTTCTTTTTTCCTTAGTGGTATAGTTTACTCCTGCTGTGTGCTTAGATTGGCGTGAACGGCCTGGTTCGGAAAAACATTCTCAAGGGCTCTTTTTTAATGTGTGAGCAGCTGCTCTTAGCCGTGTTCTTTGGTTTGGACACTTAGTTTGGTTCTGTATCCCTCTGTGAAGTACATTCTAGTTCTCTTCTTTCCTATTCTTACTGAAGTACCTATATGAAGTAACACCTTCTGTTGCTTTTCTGAAGATCCGTCGGTGCTCTTTGGGGTCAAACAAAAATAGATTTTTGTTCGGTTCCCGGAGCTTTGTGTGTGAGTTTGGGTAGAACCGGCTCTGACTGGGCCGTGCCTGCCTGGGCAGCTTCTTCTGAAGGTCTGTGTGTCCTGCTCTGGGTATAGCTCACAGTTTGTTTGGGTGCTTGTTTTCAGGGCTGTTTAGTTACAAGTCCTGTATTGGCTTAGTGTGAAATTGTTGTAAGGATTCCCTTAGCTATGATGAAACTAACATTAATATTATTACTATTTATTAATTTTGTAGCAACTGTGTTGTAGTTGAGATGGATACAATACAAAACAGCATGTGTGTCCTGCTCTGGGTATAGCTCACAGTTTGTTTGGGTGCTTGTTTTCAGGGCTCTTTAGTTACAATTCCTGTATTGGCTTAGTGTGAACTTGTTGTAAGGATTCCCTTGGCTATGATGAAACTAACATTAATATTATTTCTATTATTATTTATTAATTAATTCTGTAGTAACTGTGTTGTACTTGAGATGGAGACAATACAAAACAACATTCCATTTTCGGAAGGTTTCAAACTGTTTTTATCATGGCCTGCATGCTTTTTATACATTCTTACAAAGCTCCTAAGTTTACACTTTACTCATTGGTCACCAGAGGCAAACAAAGTGCTCATTGGAATAGACAGTGCAGGTTTCTCTTATTTATCCTTTCTTTCTTGGTTTCTGTGTCAATGACCTTGGTAGGAAATTCTTTCAAGGGTAATTATAGATCCTCTTATCAGACTTCCCTCTGACTCACAGAAGTTGCTGTGAAACGTCTTCCACACAACTGTTCTGGGAAATTCTTTCAAGGGTAATTATAGATCCTCTTATCAGACTTCCCTCTGACTCACAGAAGTTGCTGTGAAACCTCTTCCAAACAACTGTTCTGTTTTTTTTTAGCAGTTACATCTGAAGAGATCTCGTCCCTGTTTTATTTCCTGTCTTTCAGCTCTTTTCCTGGCCAATATATTCCAGTACACATGCAGGAGGGTTTTGTTCTGTGAATTGCTCAGGTTCAAAGTTTGAACTGCATCACCTTCCCTTGCTGTATTTCAGTCCTCTGAAAGAGGCACTGGTTCAGACTTCAAACACTAATTGCAAGTAGAGCTGCAGGAATGTCTGAGCTGGCCAGAGCCCTGCTTGCATCAAAGCTGGAAGCAGATTACTGTGTAAGCACCGTGCTGCCCTTAATCTTGGGGATTCTGAGAGCCAGGGTGTGTTTGCTCAAGGTGTGGTGTTATGTTACAGCTGAGGTAGAGCAGGGGTTGTCTCTGTTGTGGAAATTGCTGTTTCAGGGCAGTTAAACTTGGGTCTTTGTTATATTTTGATCTTTTATTAAATGTTTATAAGGGATAAGGTGGGCTCTTGTTCTGCCCTGAGTTTAGGGGGACAGTCTGTGGTTCCAGACCACGTAAGTGCAGAGCACAGCTTCTTCCTGACAAAACCAAGTTGGTTCTGTCAGTGCCCTCACGGAATTTGGGATGTGTTGCTGGGAGAGCCTGCCTGGAGCACGTTCAGAATGTGTCTGTGTGTCCCTGTGTCCGTGTGTCCCTGTGCTCCAGTGGGGCTGTGACCCCCCAGGCAGCCACTCTTGCCTGAGGCTGCTGCTGTTGTTCTGTTAGGTCTGGCCCAGCAGGACATGTGTCACTTGTTTCAGAGAGTTTCTGTTGGGAAAAATACAGCTTTTGTAGGAACCTGGTGCAAAAATGAGCTGTTGTTCTTATTCCCATATCTTTGCCTGTGAACCCCTTAATTTAAAAATTACAATAATTGGGAGGGAGGGGGTTTACATTTTTTATTTCAGGTGAAGCTCCTGCCTTCCTTAGCAGATACCTGTCTATTCAAATCAAGGCAGAAAAATACAACTTTTGTAGGAACCTGGTACAAAAATGAACTTTTATTCCTATTCCCATATCTTTGCCTGAGAGCCCCTTAATTAAAAAATTATAATAGTTCAGAAGGAGGGGTTTACATTTTTCATTTCAGGGCAAGCTCCTGCCTTCCTTAGCAGACACCTGTCTGTTCAAACCTAGGCAGAAAAATACAGCTTTTGTAGGATCCTGGTACAAAAATGTACAGGAGCCTCAAAGACTCAGCACATGGAAACAACTGCTTTCATTTTATGGTTCATTTGGTGCTGCTCATTCTGCCTTGTTAATGAAAAATGCAAAATAACTGCTCCGTTTAGTCTCTGAATTTTGGTAGGCTGAGAAGAGGCTGATCACCTTTGTGAGCTGTCTCCCAGGTGCTTTCTAATATAAAAGACAGAGTTTAGGGGTTGTTTGCCTTTGTCTTCATATTTTGCAGTGTTTACCATGACTGAGTTTGTTAACCCTGAGCTTGTCCTCTTAGAATGGGGAGGTTATTATTATTTATTTTGGAGTAAACATTAACTGGGCAAGGTGCAAGAGGAAAAAGATGTGTTTATTCTTTTCATTAGAGAAAGTTAGTAAAGCTTGGAGGGAAGGCACAGGGAAGAGTTCAGCTCCAGAGGAATGGATTTGGTAAAACAGTGTTTGCTTCAACTGAGACACTGAAGGGAGGGATAGAGGGGTTTTAATGTTATTCCTAATTAATAATTATTATTAAATGAGGTCCTGCCTCACTGTGGTTTTGTGTTCTGTTTTCTTATTACAGGTTAAAGTTTCATTTGACCTGGACAACATTCAGATCAAGTACATTGATGAGGATAATGATGAGGTAAAATACCTGCCACCCCACCCTCCCAATAAGTCAACTGAGAATGACTTTCTGCCTCCTGATGATTTGGAGTGGGTCCTTCAGGAGAGTCTTTTTTTCAGATTGGGGTGGGGGAATGTTTGCCCCTTTAGGAAGAAAATAGCTGATAGTCTTGTGATTTTACTCTTAATGCAGCATATACATTTTAAAATACTTTTTTTAGAGGCTACTGCCTTTCTTTTTCCCACCCTGTTGAAACACCCCGTGGTTCTCTGTGTTCTGAGGAAGGAATGTTTCCGTTGAGGAACTTTTTTTATTTTTAATTTTTTAAGGTAATTTTAACTATTTGTGTTTTTAGCTGTGGTAAAGCCCTGTCTCTTCACTCTAGACTCCTTCCTCTGGAAAATGTAGGTCCCCTGTCATCAGCATATGTTTGCTTCAGTGATCTGGTGTACTCAAATCCTCTGCTTGCTTTATGCAATTGCTGTAATCTCCAAGCAGATTACTGACTCAGAAAACAAATTGGTTACTTCTAGTTGTCCTTGTTGAGTAACTTCCTGCTTTGGCACAGTCTCACCCTCTCGTATTATTTTTGTTTATCTAGAGATTCAGAGGGGAATGTAACTCTCACACAAAATGACCTTTTGCAAACAGTGTTCCACTGCTTGGATTATAGCTCCACTAAATCAGATGGGGGTTCTTGTTCTTACTATTTTTCCCTAAGGGCAAACCTTTCAGAGAATGATTCTCCCCTTATTTTCCAGCCTGTATCATATATAAATATTTAAATGCATCTATGAAAGCTTTTTCTGAAATACTGAGCAAACATTGTTCAGAATCCTGTGACGCTGTGGGGATTCAAAAGCTTCTTGTGTCAGTGACTTCTATGTGCAGAATCGATAATTAATTTTCTGTAGAAGAATGGGCTTATGAAACACTTAATTGGTCTTTTGAAACACTTAACTGGGCATTTAAAGCAACTGGGGCCAAGCTCTGGAGTTGTGCAGTGAGCCCAGGGCTACAGGCAGTGACTTTCTGAGGAGAGCAGCTTGTTCTGGCTGCCAGCAGTGCCAGAGCTGCCTCCTGTGCCAGTCCAGTAACAAACATGGGCTGCTTCAAAGCACCACAGCTTTGGGTAATGATTAACGTGGCAATAACAAGCACCTAAAGGACTGCTGTTTTAAAAACTGTGAGTAAATGTATTATTCTGAATGTGTTAATTTTAAGAGAACTGCAAAAATGTGTCTGTGGCTTTTGCTCACTGTTCTTTCTCTTTGCAGGTCTCTGTGAACAGCAAAGGTGAGCTGCTGCTTTATTGAGGTGAAATC